TGGCCGTTCTGGGCTGCATCTGGAGCCATGCCAAGCTGTCTTACAACTCTATGGGGCCCTCTGGACGCAACTTCTTGGAGCCCTGAACCGTCCTGCCCCCCCATGCTTGAGCCAGAGCCCGCATCGCGTGCACCTGCCCCCCGCCCCTCCCGCCCCCCCTCCCTGCTGGATGGAGCCGGGGCCCGTATAACGTGCACCTTGTCCCCCGCCCCTCCTGCCCCCGTGGGGTCGCGCTCTAGGCCTCCCAGCAAGCCCTCCTTGGCAATCTTGAGCGCCTTGGGCGCCATTTACCGCGGTGTGGGCAACAATCGGGGCCATGCTGGGCTGTCTTGGCGGCCTTCTTGCGGTTTCCTTGGGCTGTCCTGGGTCGCTCTGGACGCCCTGTTGGGCTGTCTTTGTGGTGCTCGGGGGACTCGTGGGCCGTTTTTGTCTGCTCTTGGAGCCATTCCAGGCTGTCTTACAGCTCTATGGGGCCCTCTGGACGTCACCTCTGGTAGCCCTGAGCTGTCCTGCTCCCCCATGCTAGAACCGAAGCCCGTATAGCGTGCACCTGACCCCCTGGGTTGCGATGTCCAGGAAAACCATTCTGGACAACCTGAAGAGCTTTGGGGACCATTTTGGCTCGTTCGGGGTAGCAATCGGGGCCATGCTTGGCTGTCTTGGTTGGTGGCCTTTCGGGCCTTCTTGGGGCTCCTTTGGGCCGTCCTGCGCCTCTCTGGAAGCCCTGTTGAGCTTTGTTTGTGGTGCTCGGGGCCCTCATGGGCCGTTCTGGGCTGCTCCTGGAGCCATCCCAGGCTGTTGTACGACTCTATGGGGCCCGCTGGACGTCACCTCGTGGAGCCCTGAGCCATCCTGCTCCCCCCATGCTGGAGCCGGAGCCCACGTAGCGTGCACCTGCCCCCCGCCTCTCCCGCCCCCCTGGGGGTCGCGCTGGGCCTCCCTGAACAAAACTCCTTTCGGGCAATCCTAGGCGATTTGGAAATCATTTTGGCTCGTTTGGGGTAGCAATCGGGGACATGCTTGGCTGTCTTGATTGGTGGCTTTTGGGGCCTTTTTGGGGGTTTCCGTGGGCCGTCCTGCGCTTCTCTGAAAGCCCTGTTGGGCTGTCTTCGTGGTGCTCGGGGCACTCGTGGGCCGTTCTGGGTTGCTCCTGGAGCCATCCCAAGCTGTCTTACAACTCTATGAGGCCTTGTGGACGTCACCTCTTGGAGCCCTGAGCTGTCCTGTCCCTCCTTCTGGAGCCGGAGCCCGTGTAGCGTGTCCCCTGCCCCTCCCCATCCCCTCCCCGTCCTCTCGCATTCCTCTACCCTTCCTCTCTCCTTCCTCCTCCTCCTCCTCCTCCTCCTCCTCCTCCTCCTCCTCCTGCTCCTCCTTCTCCTCCTCCTCCTCCGACGAGGAGGAGGACGAGGAGCAGGAGGAGGAGGGGGAGGAAGAGGAGGAGGACGAGGAAGAGGAGGAGGAGGGGGAGGAGGAGGAGGAGAAGGAAGATGAGGCGGAGAAGGAAGAGGAGGAGTATGAGACGGAGGAGGAGGAGGCAGAAAAAACTCGGGCCGGCGGGGGCCAACATGCACGTGCCATCTATACGTGATATGACGTGCGATCTGAACGTGTTTGTCCACGCTAAACACTTTCAAGTGCACGCTAACCACCTATACACAAACGTATAGCGTGCACGCGCTTATGGATGCACACTCTATACGGGCCCCGTTTAGATTACACTTCAAAGTCCCTGTGAACACGCTATGTGTGGCAACGTGTCCGTACATTTAACTATGCATGCATGCCTACGTACAAACCTACCTGCATATCTACATACATACACACATACATACATACATACACATATGCATAGATACCTACATACATACAAACATATACATATAACGGCGCACCGGGTCCGGGGGCCCGGGGCCGGGACCTCGACCACAAATGTGGGCCCCGGGGGGCCCGGAGGCTCGTCGGACCGCCGGACGCCGTCCAAGATCGTTCGCAGGCGGCTTCGGAACGCGCTCCGATGGCTCCAGATGCCTTCCAAGACGCCTGTCATGACACCAAGAAGGTCCCAGAAGCCTCCAAGACGCTCCGAGAGGCAGCCCAAGAGAGGCCCAAGAAGCAAAAATCGTGTCATTCCTATGGGAAAACGTATATTTTTCGCATGTTCGCCTCTTGGGCTTTCACCGCGTCCAAGACGGCCCAAGAGGCGCCCAAGACGGTCTACGAGGCCTCCGGGAGCGCTCCAAGGCTGCGCACGAGTGGCCCAGGACGGCCCCAAGACGGCCGAAGAGAGCCCCAAGACGAGTTCGAGAGGGGTCCCAGACGGAGAAAGCCAACCTCGAATTCCGAGCTTCCGGCCCAAGAGGCTCCAGGAGGCGCCAAAATGCCGCCAAGAGGCGCCAAAAGGCTCCCAAAAGCACCCCAAGACGTTCCGAGAGGCACCCCAAGAGAGGTCCAAGAAACAAAAATCGTGCCATTCCTATGGGAAAACGTATATTTTTCGCATGTTCGCATCTTGGGCTTTCACCGCGTCCAAGACGGCCCAAGAGGCCTCCAAGACGGCCTAGGAGGCCTCCGGGAGCGCTCCAAGGCTGCGCACGAGTGGCTCAGGACGGCCCCAAGACGGCCCAAGAGAACCCCAAGACGACTTCGAGAGGGGTCCCAGAAGGAGAAAGCCACTCTCGAATTCCGAGCTTCCGGCCCAACATATCCCAGGAGGCGCCAAAACGCCGCCCAGAGGCGCCAAAAGGCTTCCAAAATCAGCCCAAGACGTTCCGAGAGGCACCCCAAGAGAGGTCCAAGAAACAAAAATCGTGCCATTCCTATGGGAAACGTATATTTTTCGCATGTTCGCATCTTGGGCTTTCACCGCGTCCAAGACGGCCCAAGAGGCCTCCAAGACCGCCCCAAGACGGCCCAAGAAGCTTCCAAGAGGGCCCCAGGACAGCCCGAGAGAGCCCCAAGACGGCCCAAGAGGCGCCCAAGATGGCCCCCAAGACGTGGGAATGGTACTCGCCATGCTTTTTTTGAAGCTCGTCGCGAAAACCCGTCCCGTCGCGAGAACCCGTCGTCACGAACGGCCGTCGCGAAACCCTGCCCGAATCGATTCAAATCCGTGCATGGCTAGCAACGGTCACGACATGAAAAAAGCAGGAAGACAACGAGCACGGAACAGCACTCGAGGCGCTGGCGCAGCCAGGTTACGCTTGTGATTGAACCAACATGGCAGAGACCAGGAGGGTTTGAGCCAAAATGGCAACGTGGAGGAGGGGACGACGAGACGACGAGGACAACGAGGAGACGGAAGATGACGATGAGGAGGGGGATGGGGAGGGGGGAGGAGGAGGAGGAAGGGAGGGTCGGAGAGGAGGATGGGGGAGGACAGAAGGAAGCGGAGGAGATATTGACGACGGCGTGGAGACTGGACTGATGCTGATGAGGGTCATCCTATTCCACGGTCACATCGGTCCCGTGCATTTTCTCTCGCAGCGTTCGCAGCGTGTCTCGGCCATGCTTGTATGTTTCTCGCAGGCGTGCATCGGCCAACGGCACAACTAAAGGGGCGAGCTTTCCTGAGAAGAAGAGAATGATGTAGACATGTGGAGTGGAATGGCGGTCATCAACATCAACAGCATCGGCAGTTCCTCCTCCTCCTCCTCCTCCGCCCCCTCCTCCTTTTCCTCCTCCTCCTCCTCCTCCCCTCCTCCTCCTCCCCCTCCTCCTCCTCCTCCTCCTCCTCCTACCCCTTCTTATCCTCCTCCTCCTGCTCCTCGTCCTCTCGTTCGCCAGTTTGGCTCAAGCCACTTGTAAGATAGAATTGTCTAATCTACACCCGTTTTTTCTTGAAGGTTCCGCCACTTGTAGAATAGAAATGTATAATCTACAACCGATTTTACTCGAGGAGTCCGCCAGGTGTAGAATAGAGATGTATAACCTACACGCGAGTTTTCTCAAGGAGCTAATCTACACCTGGTGTTTCTCGAGGGGTCCCAGGCCTGTTTACACGACGGGCGTCAAGCTGGCTTCCAACATGCACTGATCAAAGCAACTCGCCTGGGCATCCTGTGCTTTCCTCGCGGCGACGGGTGGTTTTGGACTCGACGCCAGGAGGCGCTTCGCGGCGACGGGCGGTGGCGCAAACGGAGCAGAAGGAGGAGAGCGATAATGGTAGCTAGGCGGAGCGGCCTCCTATAAACACATTGCTGCACACCACAGCTGGCAATGCAAGCCGCCCCGAAACCTGCCGACACCTACTAGCTCTGGCCCGTTGGAGGTTAAGGGAGTGCGCGTGTGCTCGCTTATGCGTGCGTGTGTGCGTGTATGAGCGAGTAGGGATCTGATCTTTATGACCAGACACTTCACGAGAAAAGGTGCTTTGCTGCTTTGAACCCTGCTGGTGCGGCATCGCTTTTTGCGGCCTTGGCCGAAGTCTTAGCCTTGGCCTTGGCCTTGGCCCTGGGGGTGGCCACGACGTCGCCATCGCCCTCGTCAGGCTGAAAGACCTGGCGAGTCAAAGGGACGTTCACCTGGCCCAAACACTTAGAACTTACACTTAAGTAGTGGAAACTCACATCAACAGTCACCTTGTGTAGATGGTTCATTACAGTGTACTCGAAGTCAAACGGCAGAGTGATCACCCCATGGAGAAGCACTGGATCCTGGAGTTCGTCGGGCTTCCGAGGCGCATCTGCCTTGGCCTTGGCCTTCGGGGCGGGCACCTAGCAGGCCCCCAGGAGGAGGAGGAGGAGGATCAGCAGGACGAGATAAGGATGAACAAAAATCAAAAAATCGATCTTGGGGGGGTATTTGACAAACCCCATGCGTTCTCTATGAAAACGCAATCTTTCTTAGGGGGTTATTTGACAAGGGCCCCCTCCCCTCCCCTCCCCCCGTGCCGGCGGGGAGGGGAGGGGTGAATGAGGAGGGGGAGGGGGAGGAGGATTGGGAGTTTTCCCTCAGGCTGCCTTCTGCGGGTATGGAATAGCCCAAGCAGGGCATAGAACGTCTCCCATGGTCGGGTCGCAGGCGACGCCGTCGCTGCACACGAAGAAGTCCATGTCGAACGCACGTGCCACTTTCAAAGAACCTGGCACCTGGATCCTCGTCACATTGCCGAAAAAGTTGAGCCGAATTCCCGCCGAGACGTTCTTGGCGACGTAGAAATGGTCTTTCTTCTCGGGAGTCGGGTTCCAGAGAATATCGCACCAGCCAGCCTCGAGCACGTTCGCCTTCATCTTGGACTTGGGGCCGTCGTCTTGGCCGACCGTCGGCGGGGCGAACACGGGCACGTTGCACTTCCGAAAGATGAAGGCCTGCAGCTCGAAAATGAACGTCTTGATCACCGCCGAAGTCGTTGCCGTCTGCGCCCACAAATCTTCAAGTGAATCAGGTACCGACGTAGCTTCGCCATCAGCGGCTTCAGCTTCACCGTCAGGGTCAGGCGCTGCAGTTGGAGCAGGCGGAGGAGCTGGCGCACCAACGCGCTGCTGTAACTCGATGTGGGTGCGCAGGTCCCCCGACGCGGCCGCCTGTATCAGTTCGGACCACAACTCCACCCAGGATGTAGATGGTGTTGAAATATCAATCTCGACAATATCATTGAACTCCGCTTCGAGCTTCTTCATCGAATCCGTCGCCATGTCGGTCAGAGCTCCTCGGCCCATTGAAGACAGTATTCCAATGCAGTACCGAACGCGCAGAGTCCTAAGCATCATGAACTCGTCCTTGGTGTTGCACGCGCCCCCCGTGACGTCGGCGACGCTGAACAGGTTGCCGCAGTCGTCGGAATCGATGTGCTTCGAGGCCCTCTTGATGAAGCCGACCGTCCTGTCATCGAACACCTTGCACGTCACGCGCAAGAACGACTCCAAAGTAGCATTGAGAGTCAGCGCATCCTTCTCGACCAGGCCGCTCAAGCTCTGCACCATATTCTGCGACACAAAGAGGTAGTACGGTTGCATGGCCATGCCGCAGGTCGTCTTGTTGGTGTAGATGAAGCGCGACACCTTGAGCACGAGCTTCTCGTCATTCACGTACTCGGACATGTCCCTCACCACCTCAGACTTCCGCGGCGACGGGGCGGTCGCTGAGACTTGGGAGTCAACCCTGCACGTCGGAGCTCGACGTCGTGCGCCGTGACAAACCTCTTGACGATTTTCCTCCTCAGCTCGCTCCACTTGCTGTAGGTCAGGCCGTCCACCGTCACCTCGGACGCGAAGCAGAACTCCAAACCGATGGCTATGTTAGCCCTGATCTCGGGCATCTTCGCATCCTTCATGATCTCGGATACAGGGGTCACGATGGCCTGCACAAGATCGTCGAGCCACACCTTCTCGCGGAGTTTGCCAGACTCCTCGACCGTCGTTTGGGTGTCTTCCGCAGGGATGCATATGCCACCTTTACCCTTTTGCTTTTTGGCGGCCTTCTCTTTCAGGACCATCGCTGCGAGCCTCTTCTTGCTGCTGTCCTTGTACAACACCGAAAATCCCATTGGGGCGATCATATGCTTGACGGTCGCGCTGTCCTTCTCTGCGTCCCTCAGGATCCACTTGGGGGGCCATGGAAAGCCCTCGTCCTCGAGAGGAATAGCGAACTTCAAGGCCTCCAGCGCGATGATGTTGAGCAGCCCCCCGTCGATCACGTCCTTGATCTTATTGACGGCGACCAAGATATCATTGTTCAGCGATGCCGCCGCCTGTGAGACAGAGCACGGCAATGGCGCCCAGTAGATTTGGCCGATGCCAGGAGGCCCCTAGCACCAGCCCCACCTACGATGGGGGCCATTGCGTTGCCCAACCAGCCTCGTTGCTGAGGTCCTTTCTCAGGAATTCACACGAGCTCTCACACATCTCCTTGTAGCCCGACCAGGCGGACAAACATACCATCTTATGATAAGAAGCAACAAACTTCTTGAAGTGATCGTGGAACTTGAAATAATCAGAGAAATTGCTGATGACGTGGTTCTCGTAGAGTTTATCGTAGCGGTGAGGGCCCTGCTTCGGGCAACTGTCCACGGTGATTGAGTTCGCTTTCGCGTGTTGTTTCCAAGACTTCTCGGCCAAGGACGATTGCTCGTGCACTTGAATCAGCGTGACGGCGCTGCCGTGATGGTATTGGTTGTGCACGAGTTTGATCCACAACTGGATCGCCGTTGGCGCGTGCTCCTTCAACACGAAGATGTTGGAGAGACCGTTCTCCATGATCTCCACGACGTTCTCGTTGAGAGCGTCAGTCTGGGCAGCCATGAGGGCCGCCTTAAGTGGGCGGGATGCCCGCTCCAGGTTTGCTGCCATCTTTCACAGCCGTGGCCCCGTGCCCAGGGGGAAAAGCTGAGGGCACCAGGATTGGCCAACGCTGGCCTGGATCAGGGGGGGTACAAATATCACCCTCGGGCCCACAGGGCCCATTGTTCGCCCTCGGGTACAAATATCACCCACGGGCGAACAATGGCAGCAAAACTGGGGGAAGGGCCACGACGAGGGGGGAGATTTGAGAGTGGGGAGAAGCGCCTCGCAGTAGGTCGCACCCGCAATCATGTGGTAGACCCCCTGCGAGGCCGTCAACGGCGTCTCCACGGCAAGGAGGCAACCCCTGAATTCGGAGAGGCCTCCATCGGCCAGGATACCGTTTGCGTATCTCCTCACCACCGTTAGTTGTCGGCGTTTGTTGTTCGGTGACCTCTGAAGCAGGAGCTCGAGGGGCCCGCCGTCGCCGCCACGACGCAAGGCAGGCTTAGACACCTGGTTTGGAGTGAGGCACCAATCTTTCATGATCGCGCGGAACTTCTTGCTCTTGCCGCCCTTGATGCTAGGATAAAGTGCGTCCACCTCTGCTTCAATGGTAGCTCGATCCATCTTCTCCAGGTCGCTGTTAGGGGCTGTCGCCCCCGTCTGATCAACTCCGTCAGTCATTCTAACGTTGTAAATTCTCCGACTCGCAAGGTAAGTGCACTCGGAATAGCGGTGCGCACCCTGCGAAAGTGCATCGCTTGAGCCAAAAAAGGCTACGGTGGAGGAGCGCGGACGGAGTGCGAAAGGGGGAGTCGGGCCGGCGAGGGGCAGCGTCAGAATGGCAGCGTCGGCTGTCGCGGACCTCAAATGCGTCAGCCTGACCAGGGGGATTCGCGACGACCACCCTGAAAATCAGTCCCGAGGGGGTTTCGCGACGGCCGTCGCGAATCCCAGAATGTTTTCACGACGGCCGTCGCGAATCCCAAGGGGTTTTCGCGACGGCCGTCGCGAATCCCAGAAGGTTTTCACGACGGCCGTCGCGAATCCCAAAGGGTTTTCGCGACGGCCGTCGCGAATCCCAAAGGTTTTCGCGACGGTCGTCGCGAATCCCAGGGGTTTCGCGACGGCCGTCGCGAATCCCGCGGGGTTTTCGCGACGGCCGTCGCGAATCCAAGGGCTTCTCGCGACGGCCGTCGCGAATCCCAAGGGGTTTTCGCGACGACCGCCCTGAAAATCAGTCCTGGGGGGTTTCGCGACGGCCGTCGCGAATCCTGGGATGTTTTCGCGACGGCCGTCGCGATCCCACGGGGTTTTCGCGACGGCCGTCGCGAATCCCGTCGCGACGGTAGCTCCTCCTCCCCCTATCCTCCCCTGAGCTTCCACAAGAGCTAAAAAATAGGGTGCGACTTATTCCCATTCCAGACTTATTTGTTTAACATACAAACGCTATAGACTTATCCGCGTATGTTATTTTTAGGTTTATAGACCTATCGACTTATCCCAAGACTTATTGAAATATGTTATTTTTAAGTCTATAGACTTAGCCTCATATGTTATTTTTAGGTTTATAGACTTATCCTCAAAACCTATTTTTAGGTTATAGGTTCCAAGTGTTATTTTTAAGTCTCTCGTTTAGGTATCAGGTATCTATTTTAGGTCTTGGAGTCTTGTTATGTGTGGAAATGCACTGTGCATGTACTCACGCACGTCATGTGTTGGGGTATGCTCTCAAAGGTGGCGTGGGCACGCATGATCGCACACGCAATCGCACTGTCATTTTTACTTCCCTTCTCAGAGTCAGAATCTGAATCAGAGGCGGAATAACACTGCGAGCAACACATCTATGTAGAACAAAAGCAGGCTCTACCGCAAATGAGTTTCTACGACGACGCACCTCTGTAGCACAGTAAACGCCATCTTCGCCATGTGGGCAGCTTGTGCAATCTGCGCTACTTCCCCGTTTTCGCTCTCGTCTTCGTGAGTGCTATAATACGCTGCATTTCCATGCAACGACATCGCGTGAACCATGTGCACCATCCCATGGTGTTTATACACCATCTTGCCCCCAGCTAGCTTGTAGCACGTGTTGAACCGAATGGCGTGGGTCATCAACTGGTTGCGAACCTCTGGAGCTTGCACGTGCGACTAGCCCGTGGACCCGCCCCGACCACCGAGGGGGCGGGAGACGGAAGGGATGAGGACGAGCGGGAGGGAACGCAGTAGAAAGGAATAAGTCGTCGTCCTCATCCTTCCCCTCCTGCTCCTACTCCTGCTCCTGCTCCTGCTCCTCCTCCTCCTGCTCCTCCTCCTCCTCCTCCTGGTCCTCCTCGTCGTCCTCCTCTTCCTCCTCCTCCTCCGGCTCCTGTGCCTGCTCCTCATGCTCCTCCTCCTCCTCCTCCTCCTGCCTCCGTCCCCGCCTTCCCCCTGCCTGCGTTTATTGAAACCTGCAGCGCCTCGGGCGCAAGATCCCGCTGCTCTTGCCGCAGGATGTCCAAGAAAGCCTTCAAAGATGCACCTGCGGCCGCCAGCAGGCGACCGCGCTCGCCCAACTTCGCGGGAAACTCATTCGCCAGGCCCGTGCAAAAATCTATGAGGTCGCGGCCCTCGCCGCCCTTGAGCTTGAGGGTCGGGTTGCGAAATCTGCCCAACATGCCCACCGTCAGTTTCTTTATGGTTGTTAGCGGCCTATGTGGGTCAGCTGTTCGTTTCTGCTTGTAGTAATCCTTCAACCTCTTGCGGATCACCTTCAACCCAGTGTGCACGCGAGAATGGAGATTCTCAGCCCTGCTATCAAAAACGTCCCTCAACAATGCACTGACGATCACCAACCCGTTGAACTTTTGGACCACACCGAGATCGATGGTGTGGAGAACGCAATCTACGAATGCCTCGATCCTGAAATAGTCGATTCCATGCTGATGGAGTCCGTCAATGTTAAACATTGGGCTGACGCCGTTGAGGGCCGAGCCCTTCTTGGTTCTGAAAAAGAACACGTCGCACGGCGTCGCAATGCTGTCGAGATCATTGATGGAAAAGATCGGCCCACCCATCACCAGTTTATCCCGAGCTTTCAGCCCAAAAGGTCTTCCCTTGTTGCTGAATACCACCCTCCCCCACCCTGCCTTCTTTTCGCCGTGCTTGTACACGAGGGCCTGACACAATCTGTCCCGCGCAGCTGGCGAATCAAGATGGACTCGGGTCAAGTGGTCCCAAAGTTCAGCAATGTAAGACTCGTGGGTCCTGGGTGCGCGGTGTTACACTATGCCGACCCCCTTTCCGGTGTGTCCCCGCCACTTCGATTTCGACGCCCCCTCCCCGACCCACATTCACCCCGCACCACTGGTCCTATTGGGGAATGGCAGCGCAAGGGCCGAGCATTGTGCATAGGAATCATGGTATTCCGAGGGTCGGCACGAGCAACACATGCACCCCCCGCCGTGGTGCTTAAAACCAGCGGATGCACATCTCTCTGGCAGGTCGCCCCTGTACTCTACCATGGCGCCGATGTGCGCCATCCTGTGGCCCGCGATCTCGCAGCGAAACTTGTCCGCGGCGTGAAAAGGCGCCCCGTCGTGCCTTCCAACCCCCACCCTCCCCCTCCCTCCCCCCATCCACCTCCCCCCTCTCGCCGCCCCTGAGCCGAGGGAGGCGACGCCCGGACAGGCCGAGGGCGGGGGCGGGGGATGGAAGCCTGGAAGATGAGGAAGGAGGAGGAGGAGAAGGGGGAAGGAGAGGATGAGGAGGAGGAGGGCGAGGAGGATAAGGGGGGGCGACGAGGAGGCAGGGAGAATCAGAGAGAGAGAAGACGGAGGAGGAGGCATGGAGGATAAGGATGCGCGACGAGACAAGATGGAGAAGGAAGGAGGAGGAGGCAGGGGGAGAAGGAATGAGAAAGTGCGGGAGCGATGGGGTGAGAAATCTCAGGGAAGGAATAATGGGGGTGGCCCTATCCCCAGCCTGCACGGCGGCACCTCCCCCTTTTGGAGCCAGTTGATGGACCAATTCGCGATGGCCTGCAACACGTCAAGCGTGCAGCGCCCATTGCACCCACATGTGCAGAGGGTGCTGCTCAAAACAACCCATAAGGTGTAGCGCCTCCTCTGGAAAGTGGGGCCGAAGCTGCACCTCGGCGCAGGTGGAGGAGGAGGTGGGAGAGGGAGGAAGGGGATGAGGATGGGGTCGGAGGAGGGAGGAGGTGGATGGGGGAAGAGGGGCGGTGCAGGAGGAGAAGGAATATGGAGTAGGGGGAGAAACGACCGGACGCGCTAACATACCTGATGAGAGCATGCAACCCCCACTCGGCTTAAATAACCTGGGCGCCTCACGATGCTATCGGTCTTGCCGACCGCGAGTTTGTCTGTGTAGATGCCTACGGGTAAAACTCGGCCTGCGCCGAAACGCCGAACTATGGGATGCCCGAGATATTGCCGAGTCATGTAATTATGAGGATCCACTGCGCCAAGGTTCAAGTCCGATGGGCTGTCGATGGCAGCATTGTATATTATCTCGTGTGGTAGGCGCATCGGGAACGTCGTCAGCTCATTCTTGTTCGCATTCGCATCGAAGAGGGGGACCGAGACTCGATAGAGATACTCATCCAAAGATGCCACTCCCAGGGCCCTCTGTATATTCCTAGACTCATTGCGTCCTGATTTGCCAGCGCCCACCGTGAGCGTCTCCAAACCTCGGCCCTCAGATTCCTTGGCGAGGTGCGCCAACGTCACTAGGTCCTTGGAGTTCCACTGGCCCCCCGCCCACTTGCCCGCGCAGAATCTAAATCCGCCCGCCCCTCACTGCGAGGGCCGAGGGCCTCCCACGACGGGGAAGATGATGGGGCGGGAGGTGGGGAGGCCAGGGGGCATGGAATCGAATAGGAGGGCGTGCGAGGGTGGGAGGTGTGAGGGAGGATGGGGGCGAGGAGAGGGGACAGAAGGCATTCGAAATACTTTAGGATCGAATGGGTGTCGGCCCCCTCAGACGGCTGTCGGCGGAAGCCCCCCGTC